TATACTATACTATACTATACTATACTATAGTATACTATACCATACTACACTATAATACTACACCACGCTAATCCACACTATACTCATCTACACTCCACTATACTGCACTTCGTTTCACCACACTTTATTATAAAGTAAAATACAAGTGATTATTGACATTCAAAGAGGCTATGAGTACTTGAGCAATCTCGAACATCTCTCAAGACTGAGTCCACGAACTACTCTTTATTAATACCTCTCCAGTAGTCAAGCGGGACCGGATTGAGCTCTTCAAAGCTAATTCTCTATTTACTCTGACCCCCGTCGTAGATACCGTAACAAGGCCTTATGTACTCGGGCCCAAAGAGATAGTGAAAATCAATTGATTGATCATACTTTAAGGGTGGAAAGGCCAATAGTCTATATGGTTTGTGCCAACCTTAAAACATCAAATAAGATAAGACACGAGTGGGCCTAACAGTGGAACTTCGAGGAATTGACTGAAAACTGAGGTCGTCTTAGGTCGTTTAAAATGACGACGAATCAAGAGTTAAGCTTATCACAATAAAATGATTACAAGATCGTACAGTGTCGTTGACACCACTAAACACCGAACATGAAACTTTATAGCTTATCACAAGATTGTGAATAAGAACTCGATTTAGTCGATTTATTTCTCGGAAGGTGATATATGAACTAATAGTTTAATTTTCTACAATAAAATTGTTAGGCCACACACCACCATAGAATTCCACTTAGACTTTTCTCCAAAAAGGCTTTCTTATCCATGGTCCAACTAGCCTTGGTACCATCAGCATCTTACACGGGATTCCGAATCGGATCGTGTGCTTCAAGTGTCGATGCACTACCACTCCTACACACAGTTGCAGATGTCAAATGGTAGCAGAATTGATGAGATATTCAATACAAACCCGACCTCCTCCAGTTCAAAGTTATAATAAGACTGTCGATGAGGCATAATTATGTTTGAATTTAACAACGAAAATTAATTGTGTTAAGGGAAAAGTCAATCATACTCCTACCATTCAACCTTATATAAATAAAGATTTACTACGATTTTTAGGGCTACTCAATTTGAATATAAGTAATGCCCAGGATTATAGAGGCAAATTATAGCTTGTCAAATAGATTATAATAACAAATGGAATTTTAGGTATTAAGAGATCATTTTTATAAAGAAATTTTACTAACCTTGGTCGTATAGAGTGATGTAAGGACTTATAGTTAGTTCTATCACGATTAGATTGGTAGTGTAATCGATAACTAAGCAAACATGCATTTATCATTGTAATCGGCAGCTACTTATTTTCGTTATAAGTATGTATGAACTATTGTTAATCTCGACAGTCTACTTATAAACGAAAGATAGGTATCGCAGTCGATTGTTATAGCAAATACAACTTTGCTTCATCGGCAATCACACATGGCCTTGCTTGAAATTAAAATTTGCTCTGTGACTCAAGGACACACATGGTATTGTGGCGTAGTGTCTAGCGTGTTGAGATAAGGTCTAGTTGAGATCAAAACCTCAGTCCACTTCAGTGTGGATGAGAACACCTTTTGGGAAAACAAGGCTATGTGAAATTCAATAGAAACGTCATATCTATTCATATCATTGTGGGAAAATTCAACCAATATTTCTCTTATCACCCACCCTAATTGATATACGATGAACACATCTCATGTATATGATCTATTTGGTAGTCTCTAAGGCCTACTTGTAAGCAAAAGATGTTTCGATTGTATCCGTAAATCAGTGCAATTCATTGGCATCTGGGGAGACTTGACTATCAGTTCTTAATCCGCTTTAAGAGATTTAGACTAACTGAGTTCTAGTATAAGAGATACATATTTAAATTTAAAATATTACTTTTTATACAATTGACTAAGCAAACTTGCATAAATTATTGCAACCAACGAAACTACTTATTTTATGTGCAAGTAGGTGTCATAAATTTCAGTAATCACTAGCTAAAAGCCAAGGAATTTTCAGTCGTTTACGATGAGGAGAAAGCTCTTTGACAGAAGCAAAATTTAATAACATCATTTTTAGCATAAATATTTAAACATCTTAAGGTGCTTATAAACAAAATAAACTTTATATATTGTCGTAAGATCTTCCATTCACTCCAATGTTGACAATTCAACCACTATCCTTTTATCAATGAAGGCGATATAAAGATCTTGGGAATTGAGTTCATTTGCAAGATGTATTGAATGTCTTGAAACCTACCGTCTACGTCATTTGTGCCCAAATATTGGTTTTTTAACTCTAAAGGCATCAGCATATCCACTTTTTTATTATATCAACTTTACAGCAGCTCATTCTAGTGCCAAGTTATTGCTTAAAATCAGCCTTTATCATGGTTCTAAGGCCGTGCTCCACCAAAACCTGGCCAGGGAAGGGGTAGTTAAGCTGAAAATGGTCGCAGATATGAAGACCAAGATAGTGCGGCCTCAATCTCCTTTTGCTCTCTAATCTTGATTCGACCTCGTTTTGGCAACTTCGTCACGGAGACCTTGTGGAACGATACCGTCTACGATGTCGGCGCGACATTTGGGAATGTATCAAGTCAATGATTCGATGCTGAAAATCACAAAGACTATGGCAGAGGACACATAATTAGGTACATTCAACAAGGTCTTCTTGACGCTCTGACCAAGTTGCAAAAAAGAGGACGAAAAATGGTCATGTTTTTTGGATAATTGGAGGCTATGACACGAGCTCAGAGGTACAGCTGCGGTAGCCTGCATTGCCGGTCACGTCATCGGCTCACCTGATCGCTCCACGGTCGAACCAGATCTGTCGCCAACACGCGACTTTGACCCTCGGTCGTCGGGGCGCCAGGCTCTACCGTTGGCCTGACGACGGAACAACCTGATCCTCTGACCGACCTATAGACTGAAGGCGAGGCGGACACGGCGTATTTGCGCACGAGGTAGGCGATTACATGTCCTAGGCCGAGGGCCAGGTCGTGGAAACAGTCACGACGGGCAGCTACAGAGGCCAGTTGCCGTGGCGACGCTAGCAGTCGAGTGAGCAACAGCAAAGACATGATCTTGCCGATCTCGCTAAGGCAACGCGACAGACAGGCGACAGCAGCAAAGTAGACATCGTCTGTTGGCAGGCGACGTGGTTGCCTTGGCACCAACGAAGAAACTAGCCTCTGGCCGCCAAGTTGCGGAATGGCTGTCGAGGTGTTGGCCGACCAGGCGAGGCCGGACAGAAGACCGTCAGCACGAGTTGGTCCTGACTGGGTTGAAGGAATCCAATAGGACGGAGCACCTGAATACCAAAATATAAAACCGTTTATCGGAAAACTTAGAGGCTTGTTTGGTGGGAAAACTGCAAATATATGTCGTCATGTACGATGACTAACTGGGTTTCAAGAAGTCCCCTTAAAATAACTTTCCTTCACGTGGAAGTTACCGCCGACAACGAGGTTCGAGTAGGCCAATCTCATCGGCAGATGACGCCTGAGACGCGTAGTTCCATAACCGTTCGGCGCTACTTCAACATTCCGTTTTATTTAGTCCATCATACCAGCTCCTTCGAGTCGAGAAAAAACGGCCTAACCTTTAGTCCGCCGTGCCAATCAAACAGAAATCCTCAGGCCCGAATCGCATTCTCAAAAATTCTCCAGTTAGCAACGAGCCAAGAAGACTAGCCGCCTTAATCTCGCATCCTAAATATATATATATATATATAAAGATAGATTGATAGATTGATTGATTGATTAATAGATCGATAGATAGGTGGATAGATAGGTGGATAGATAGATAGATAGATAGATATAGATAGATAGATAGATAGATAGATAGATAGAT